CCCCGCGCCCACCTGCCCCCTTCGGGAGCGAGCCCCGTTCCCGTAAGCGCGACCCCGTGGGAGAGCCGGCCTCCCGGAACGCGAGTGGGCTCTTTGCGAGTATGCGCAGTAGGGCCGCAGGGGGACCATTCCTTGGGCAAACTCCACTTCTCCGGGTCTTCCCTGAGCGGTGCCAAGCTGGCGGTCGGCCAATCGGCTTGTAGGGGCGTGTCTACGCGTCGCGAAGGAGGCGGGGCAACCCCGGGATTGGGCGTCGTCACCCAGGGGCGGAGCTTCAACCAGACTAGCGCTCCAGGGGGGTTAGAGGGCCAGCGACTTTACGGACCCAGGTGTGAGTTCGCGCTCGCTAGGTGAGCATTTGTTTAAATGTTTCCTTAGGTCCTTCGGATTGCTGAGCCAACTGCGTCATTGACACCTTCAAGTGATCTCACCCCGAATTTGAGATTCAAAATAAATAATGACCGTAACAGATTATAACCCCATGGAACAGAAAACTCTCAGGGCTGATACGGTCGGTCTCTATCTCTCGGGCGAGCGCACGCACCCTATAGCAAAAATCTCTCTTAAAATAAAAGAAGGGTTTACATAATCCCGCAGTATCTCCCTACAAGGCGCTTGTTAGTGAGGTCCCTGAGACTTCCAGCGAGTCTGCAAAAGTCAAGACTATTTTCAGAATAATGCTAAAATACTAAGTTACACGCCTCTTTAGCTTTGACGCCTTCCAAGTGTGGGCTGACGAGTGCAGACCATAGGACTCGCGGTGTTGTAACAGACTGAATGAAGAAGCAGGTGTGGGAACCAGGGGGCTCTGTCAAGCCCATATCTAAGAGATTCACACAAATGAAACAGGGTGGGGACTGAGCAGTTGGCGTAATGACTCTGTCGCTGGATTCCCATGTAGTCGACTGCGGTTCAAATCCCAGACCCGGTGGCTTAAATTCACGTCGGGCATGTGTGTGTGTGTGTGCCCAGAATCCCGAGAGGAGAATGGAGGAGAAGGGATTGCAGTGTGGCCATCCCCCCCTGGGGGGGATTTCTCGCTTTCTGTCTCTCTGTCTCTTTCTGGCGAGTGCACATGCCCTACAGCCAAAACCTCTCAAAAAAATAAAAAGAAACAAGATGACACTCTTCTCACTAAATTTCTTTGGGGGAATACTGTAACTTTTCATAAAAACACATTATGCCTACATATAAAGGGTTTATTATTCATTTTTGGTGACAGCTTTACTGAAATTCACGTACTGCACAATTGACCTATTTAAAGTGTACAGTTCAGTTGTATTTTGTATCATCAGAGTGTGTGAACATCACAGTTTTGGAACTCTTTCATCACTCCAGAAAAACTTGTAGCCATCACCCTCAATTCCACATCCTCCCAGCGCCACTTCCTGTCTTAATAGCTGTGCCTTTACTGGACATTTCATCTACGTAAACTCATGCATGGTCTGGAGTCACTGACTGCTCTTTTTTGGGAGAGGTTTTTGCCGTAGGGCACATGTGCTCACTAGAGAGACAGACAGACAGAAAGTGAGAAATCACCCCCCCAGGGGGGATGGCCACGCTGCAATCCCTTCTCCTCCATTCTCCTCTCGGGATCTTGGGCACACACGCACATGCGCCCGGCGTGAGTTTAAGCCACTAGGCCTGGGACTTGAACCGCGGTCGACTACATGGGAGTCCAGCGATATAGCCATTACGCCAACTGCTGGTCCAGAGAGACTGCCTTCTGTCATTAAGCATAGTGTTCTCAAAGTCCGTCCATGTTGTAGCCTGCAGCAGTGCTTCATAACTTATTTTCTGACCCAGGTGTATGCATTTGCTACAAAGAGATGGGGGAGCACCATCCACGGGGCGTGGTCATGCTGCAAACCCTCCTCCCCTGTTGTGATTTTGGGCATGTAAGCACAAGCGTCCAGGATTTCAACCGTGGATCATGCGAGACCCAGCAGCCTCGACCACCAGGCCACAAGCTGTCCCCTCATGACTTCTGACCGCATTCTATTTGTGTGTGCGGGTATATTCCAGTTGGCTTACCTGCCCGTCTGCTGATGGCCATTTGGTGATTTCTACTTTTTGGCCAAGGCTGATGTGAACAGTGCACAGGTTTGTGTGTGGACGCGCAGCGAGTTCTGCCAGAGAGGTGCCTAGCGGTGGGGCTGCTGGTTATAGGATAACTCTGTGCTTAACCATTCAGGGAGCTGGCAGACTGTTCTCCGCGGGATCCTCACCAGATCTCTCCGAGGTCCCAGTGCCTCGCAGCCTCCCTGCCTCTATTACTGTCCTCGCCATAGTGTGTCAGAGGACACGGAGTGGTGTCCCGTGGGCATGGCCCGCCACTCCCACGCTAGTGACACAGAGCTGCTTCTTGTACTTCCCGCTGTTTGTGTACCGTCCTTGGAGAGGCGTCTCCTCAGATCGTCGCCCACTTTCAGATTGGGCTGGCGTTTCCTGGTCATCTGACTGAGAGTGAAAGCTCTTCCGCAGTCTAGACGCTCGTCCCTGACCTGTGTGTGCAGAGGCCCCCGCTCCTGTCCTGCTTTCTGTGCGCTCTTCCACTTCACTCGTCCCGGCTGAGATGGTGTCGTCTGAACCACTAAATTCTTCATCTGGGTGGTGTACAATTGATTTTTTCTCCATTTTCCTGCCCCCACAAGTGTCCCAGGAAAGCAGAGGCTAGAGCCCCACACCTCCCTGAGCCTGGAGCCACCCCAGCCCCACCCCACAGAACTGCGGGAGGGTAACGGGCGCCCAGTGGCCGTGCGCTGTGGGTGAGGACTGGACCAATCAATGAGGAACACTGGAAGGGCAGAAGGTTCCAGAAGCCAAGGGCCTGGTCTCCAGGTGACCCCTTCTGACTCAAAGCATCAGAAAAGAAAGCTGAGGCCCAGCTCACCCCAGGCTCCTGTGCTCCCATCCAGGCCGACTGTCCGCCCAGAAGCTCTGGGCCTGCTCTTCAGCCGGTCTCCCCCCGTTCTGCCCTTCCTGTCACTGGGCGCAGCTCCAGGTCATACAGCTGCACCGGCGTCCCTGAGACAGCGCAGTTCCAGGTCTGCACAGGAGTCCGGTCATCGGCTCGGTCTCCCTGGGAACAGAGGGGTCGCAGCATGGGGGGCGGTGGGAGAATGAAACCCAGCCTCAGACAAGCCGGACCCACACTGGGGCCTGCAGGTAGAGAGCCTGTGGCAGAGTGAGACCCACGGCCACGCTGCCACCCTCAGTGGAGCAAGGCAGCAGGCAGCTCTGGGAGGTGTGCACATGAGTGCACGTGTGCACGTGTGTGTGCACGTGTGTGTGCCCAAAATCCCACGGGGAGAATGGAGAAGGGATTTCAAGGGAGCCATCCTCCCTGAGGTGTGATTTCTCACTTTCTCTCTCTCTGGAGAGCACACAAGCTGTATAGCAAAAACTACCAAAAAAAAAAAAAAAAGGTAAATTTTACATTCTAGGCATTTTACTACCCAGAAATACAAAGCAGAGAAAAGAACAGATGGAGGGGGCTGGGAAGATGGGCACTGAGGCGGGGCTGCCTGGGGCTGGCCCACCGAGTGCTGGAGGAGGCCTCTGACCCGCGATCCCTCTGCCCAGTGCCCTGCAGACGCTGTGCCGAGGCATGGGCCAGAGGACGTGGGGGCTCAGTGGCTCCACACCTGCAGCTGCGTTTGGACGGAGTGTGGGTGCGAGCGCGTCCAGGGCAGGGCTTTGTGCTACTGTCGGCTGCCTCTGCACGTGGGGTCCGCCCTGCATGTGGGGTGCCGTTGCACTGCTCCTGCCCGTGTGCACTGCTCCTGCCCGTGTGCGTGCTCTGGGTGTTGCCAGACCCAGAGTGTGAGCTCCTGGTCTCCACGGTTGGCCACCTCCAGCTCACGCCCCCAGAGCGGCCTTGCTGCCCCCCACCATGCCACCTCAAGGGGCCACCCAAAGTGCCCACCAGCCCTAGAGTTCAGCCACCATGGACTGCCCTGGGGCTTCTCAGGCAGCAGCAGGAGAGGCATAGACGCCCCCCCACCCTGGCCTGCCCGGGGGCCTTCCCTTCTTCCCTGAGCGCTCCCTCAGATGTCCTGGTCATGGACCCCACCAGGCAGCCAGGGCACCGGGAAGCAGCAGCCCTGGAGGGACTTGGAGTCTCTTTAAGCAGAGCTGGGACAGCAAACCACGGGCACAGAGCAGGACGAGCAGAGATGGAGGTGCTCTGGAAGCAGGTGGCGAAGGCAGGGCTGGGGAAGACCACCGGCTACCCACTTTTCCTCAGAGAGGCCTGCAGGGGTGGCCTACGTTCAGAAAATGTGCAGAAACACAGGCTTGGAGCCCGTATATTAAAACACCAGTGGGGACCAGCAGATGGTTTAAAGGTTACTTCGCTGGACTCTCACATAGTCGGCCATGGTTCAAATCCCAGACCTGGAGTCCTAAAACTCACTCCAGGTGCATGTGCGTACATGCCCAAAATCCTGAGAGGAGAATGGAGAAGGGATTGGGGTGTGGCCCTCCCTCTTGGGGGGTGATTTCTCGCTCTCTGTCTCTGTCTCGGGTGAGAACACATGCCCTATAGCAAAAATGTATCTAAAAACAAACAACGATGACAGCGTGGGGAGGGGACGGCAGGTGACATGGTGGTTGAAGGCGCTAGACTCCTACGTGGCTGACCACAGTTCGAGTCCTAGGCCTGGCAACTTGCTTTCTCACTTTCTCTTTCTCTCTCTCTCTGGTGAGTGCATATGCCCTCTAGCAAATTTAAAAAATAATAAATAAAAAAAAAAAAAACCAGCAGACCAGGTGGTTCCAGGACCCACTCAGGACACCAGAATCCCTGATGCTCCAATCCCGTACTGGAGCATCTTCCTCGTACCCCGAGACGGGTTCCAAAGACTGCTGGCTCGGAGGAGCAGCTGGAGGCCCGAACCCCTGCCCCACGGGCCTCTCCCTGGAGGCCGCCCTCTGAACCCTGCTCCAGGAGGGTGGCCTTTCTCCTTCCTTGCCTTCTACGACAGAACAGGAGTAGCTCCCAGGGGCTGGGACTCCTGGGACTCTCAGCTCTCAAACCACTTGGGAAGGCATCATGGGCCACGCGTCCTGCGTGTTCTCACCCAGGGCTTCAGCCCAGTCCTGAAGCCACCATTCTCAGCAGGGTGCCTGCTGGGAGACTGGGAGGGCTCCGTGTTTGGGAGCTGTCAATCTGGGAGGCTTCTTGGAGGTGGTGAAATTTGGGTCAGACGCATCCTGTAAGGGCCCAGCAGGAGGCGCCTGAGGCCTCCTGGGCACAGCCCTGGAGGGACAGTTCACGCTGGTCAGGCTTCCCAGGGCCCACGGGGTGGTCTCACTGCCCCTTCTCTGGCCAGGCAGCAGAAGGGCAGCTCAGGGAGCCCACCTGGGGGCTGGCCAGTGGTTGCTTTTCCGGGTATGAGGCTGGGAGACTGAAGGTCTCAGGAGAGGATTGCCCAGTTCTGAAGGGTGGCCTGGGCCGGGCTGGTGGGGTGCAGAGGACTGGGGGGAGGGGAGTGAAGCCAGGCCTCAAAGGACCCAGAATTCTGGAATGTGTAAGACCTGTCCATGACGGGATCTGGTATACAGCTTCTTTTATTCTTTTTTAAAATATTTTTCCTGCTGGACCAGCAGTTAGTGTAATGGCTATGTCGCCGAACTCCCATGTAGTTGACCGTGGTTTGCGTCCCAAGATCCCGAGAGGAGAATGGAGGAGAAGGGATTGCAGCGTGGCCATCCCCCCTGGGGGTGATTTCTCACTTTCTGTCTCTGTCTTTCTGGCGAGCGCATGCGCCCTATAGCAAAAACTTCTCAAAAACACAACAAAACGAAACAAAAATATCTTTCCTGCTTACAAAAGTAACGTACACTTGATCTAAGAGAAAAGAAATCGCACAAAGTTCAAAGTGAAAGTCTGCTGTGACTAAGCGCTAGAACCCGCGGCTGCAGGCCCAGGGCCAGCGAGGGGGAGGGTGCCGACTCCAAGCCGAGGCCAAGGGTAGGGAGACCAACTGGGGGCCGAGGAGCAGGGGGAGGC